CCCCGCCCCCATCCGCCTCCCGCCCCGCCTCCCGCAGATCACTCTCTGCTTCCCACTGCTGTGCTGGGAGCCGTTTCTCATCGGCCCGGCCCCTCCGCCATCTGACTATGGACTGAACCCTCTACAATTGTGAGCCAAAATAAACCTCCACCCTTTAAGTTGTGAGGGTTGAGTCTTGTCTCAGAGATAAGAAAGTCACTTACAACAGTGTTCTGAAGCCAGAGGGAATATTTTGAGGGGAATTAATGACTATGTGTCTTTCACTGCAACACTTCCTACTAAAACACACACTGTAGTTTTGATCAGCCTTTTGTAAAATACCTACAGAAAGAAGCTCAGAATTTCAACAACTAGAGAATAACATAATTAAAGAAATGATCAAAACAAAATAGCACTACACACCTAGCAGGATGACTAAAGTCCAAAAACCTGACAATACCAAGTACTGACAAGGACATGGCAAAACTGGAACTCCTAGACATTGCTGAAAAAAATTAAAAATGATACATTTTAGACAATTTGGCATATTTTTACAAACTCTGCCTTACCATATGATCTGCAATACACGTATAGATGCTTATCCACTTGAGCTGAAAACTTTTTTTTTTTTTTAACCTGTTGAATTGTCTGGTTGGTGGTTTGGTTTTTTTGAGACGGATCTCACTACGTTACTAAGTTAAGTTACCAGACTGGACTCAAACTTATGATCCTGATCCCCCAGCTACCACCATGCCTTACATAGGAGAAAACTTGTATGCTCACATGAAAGCCCGCATACAAGTATTTTATAACAGCTCTAGTCAGAACTGTCAAAAACTGCAAGCAACTAAGCTGGATAATCAAGCTATGGTACATCTAGACAAACTGTGTGACAAGAAGTTACTAAGTCGCAAAACCAGAGGAATCTCAGATGCATGCTGATTAGTACAAGAAGCCAGTCTGAAAAGACTGCATGTTGTGTGTTTCCAATTAAACTCTGGAAATGCAAAATTATGGAGACAAATAAAGGGACACTGGTGGCCAAAGGGACTG